CCACTCAAGTGTCTATTTTACAATAGTAGGCAAGGGAAACTAATATTCATATTGCCTTATGAATTTTGAAGTTGTGTTAGCTGTGTGCACATTTAGTATTGTTAAATGCATATACAGTTATATTGACCCTCTTAATATGTAATTTCCCTCCTTATCCCTGTTTTTTTCCTTATCTTCAAGTTCACTTTTGGAATGATATATTTTTTTCATACTCCTTTGCTTTCTGTCTGTATTCCTATATTTGTTTATCTCTTGTAAACAGGAGATAATTGGGTTGTTTTTTGTTTGTTTTTAAATCCTGGCATATAAGCTTTCTGTTAATCAGAGTACTTCATTCATTTTCATTTAACATGATTACTGATATGGTTGAGTTTCATTCCACCATCTCATTTATTTTCTGTTTGGTGCCTTTGATCATCATTCCTTTGCTTTTCCTTTCCTGCCATATTTTGTGTCAATTATTTTATTATCTATTTTATTTCTTCTATTGACTTTTTAGCTATATATCTTTTGTTATTGTTGTTGTTAAGTGCCATCAAATTAGTTATGACTCATAACGACCCTGTATAGGGTTTTTGAGGAGCAGCTGGTGAACTTGAACTGCCAACCTTACTGTTTAAACCAAATTTGCAGTCTAGTACATTAACTCACAGCACCATACCAGGACACATTCTATTATTGGCTACTAACTGTGCTGTCCAAAATAGTAGCCACTTCCTATATTTAAGGAGCCCTGGAGTGACAGTGTAGCATAGACAGTGGACTGCAAGGTTGCTTTGAACCATAAGGTCAGTGGTTCAAACTCACCAGCCACTCTTTGGAAACCATATATAGGCTTTCTATGAGTTGAAACCGACTTGACGACACTTAACAACAACAATATCCACATTTAAAAGGAGCCCTGATGGTGTACTGGGTTACAAGTTGGACTGCTAGCCACCAGTGCAGCAGTTTGAATCTACCAACTGCTCTAAGGAGAAAGATGAGGCTTTCTGCTCCCTTAAAGATTTACTGCTTAGGAAACCCTATGCAGGATCACTGAGTCAGGACCAACTTGATGGCACTTAACAACAAATCCACATTTAAATTAAGTTAAAAAATTAATTTACTCAGATGCATTAGTTGTATTTCAGGTACTAAATATGAGACAAATACTGTGTTGGACACTCCAGATACAGAACATGTCTAATACTTCCAAAAGTTCTGTTGGATAGTTATACTAGAGTTTAAAGTCTGGATTTGTTTCCGGTCAAAATTATGCAAGTCAAGGCAGCATAGTGTAGAAGGAGCAATGTTTTAGTCAAAAGATGTGCATTTTTATGGTGTCTTCACAACTGATTAACAGTATATCTGGAGTCCTGGTGTGGCTCTGTAGGATAAGCGCTGGACTGCAAGGTTGGTTTGAACTGCAATATGGCAGTTCAAACCCACCAACTATTCCTTGGAAACCCTATACTGGGTTTCTATGACTGGGAACCCACTCGATGGCACTTAACAGTGACAGCATATCTAGACAAGTCTTACTGGTCTGAGCCTCTGTTTTTTCTTCTAAAACATGGGCTAATAATCCCTACTCTATCTGCTTCATGGAATGCTTGTGGAAAAGAAATAGTATAACATGATTTAGTGCTTTATATAGTGTGGCTCTCTAAGGATCAGTATTAGACTGAGAACCAACCACAAGGCCAGAAGTTCCAAACCTACCAGCTCCTCAGAAACCCTATACAGGGTATCTATGAGTCAGAATCGACTTGACACTTAACAACAGTGTTTTATAAAGGTTAAAAAAAAAAAAGATTATTTTTTAAAAATATATTGACCCCAGTTTTCTGTGTTTTGTTTGCCTTTTTAGGTTGCTCACAGAACTGGAATCTCCTTCTTGGTGGCCTTTTAGTTCCAAGTTTTGGAAGACACCGTCTGAAACAAAACCCAAGGAGTCCACCTCAATGTCTAGTTCTGAGGCTTTTGGAAAAGAAGGAATAGTCATTAAAATTCCTGCTGTTATTTCCCAAAGAACAGAGTCACGTGTGAAACCAGGAAAGCTTATCATTCTTGTTTCTGGCTTGGAAGTCCATGACTCAAATTCTTTGCTCATGCACAGATTCGAAAGAGATGATGTAGATGATATTAAGGTTCATACGCCTTATGAAATTAGCATACGCCAGCGATTTATTGGGAAGCCAGATATAGCTTATCGTTTGATATCTGCAAAAATGCCAGAGGTTATCCCAATTTTAGAAGTGCAGTTCAACAAGAAGATTGAGTTTTTAGAAGACGCCATGATGCTCAGAAGCACCGGAGGCTCTTCTCCAGTAGAGAAGGGCTACTCTCCGTGGTATGCAGGTGAGTAGTCAGCAAAACAGTCTGTGCTCTGACTTCTAAAATTATAGTTCAGCTTAGCACATCAATGGTAAGTATTTCATGTAACTTATCACCCAAAGCAACTGTTGGTTTATACATAAGAATAATTTCAAGCCATTTTCCTTAGTATTTAGCATCTATGGTATCAAATCACTGAGGTTTATTATACACTCAATAGATATATAGGTTTGAAAAAATATAGTTCAGAAATGGCTTTCGTGAAATATTTTAGAATGAAGGAAAGCTGCACGTTAAGTGTTTCAACATCCTCTTGTTCTCTCATCTCTTTAATGAGTTTGAATTGACAACCAACATTTTAGGGTCTTGTCTTCCTTTTGGAGTGCCAACTGGCATACTCGTATGCTCTGATGTATCTTTTCCACCTTATTGAGCCTCTTTCCCATCCCCTTGATATTGACTATAGGTCCTTTCAGTCCACCTTTGGGTATATATTTGGATACATCTCTTTATCTTTGAAAGCTATGCACCACTGGCTTTTTTTTTTTTTTT